GGAGGGGGAGGGGGAGAACGATCGGGACCTTCGGTGGAGCTCGCCATAGGGCCACGAAGCGCTGTACTGGGCAGGGGGACCGCGTGCCAGTTCCGCCACTGGGACTTCACGAACCGCTGTACCCACGAAGCGCTGTAGTGTGCGGGGGGACCGCATGCGCACTGCGCCACAGGGACCTTCGGTGGAGCTTCCTATGGGGCCACAAAGCGCTGTACTGGGCGGGGAAATCGTATGCGGACTGCGCCGCTGGGACCTTCGGTGGAGCTCCTGTTGGGGCCACGAAGCGCTGTACTGGGCGGGGGAATCACATGCGGGCTGCGCCACCGGGACCTTCGGTGGAGCTCCCTCTGGGGCCACGGCACGGATGGGTGGTGTGCCAAAGTGTGGGAGGAGGGAGGAGGAGGAGGAGGAGGAGGAGGAGGAGGAAAAGGAAGAGGAGGAGGAGGAGGAGGAGGAGGAGGAGGAGGGGGAGGAGGGGGAGGAGGAAGGAGGAGTAAGCGGGGAACGCGGGGCGCTGTCTCTTCAAAACGAGGACCCAGCACCAAAGGATGAAGAAGAAGACGAATACTAATACTATGAATATGAAGAGGAATCTGAATGTGAATGCGAGTATGAACAATTATATGACTATGAATATGAATAAGACGAATCTGAACATGAAGAAGAGCAACAACAACACCACTCTTGCTGTAAGCAATGTGATAATGGTGGGCATCTGAGTGTTTTTTTTTCTGGGGGGGTGGGTCCAGCGGCCGCTCCTTCTCTTCGAGGCCTTCCACACGTGGCAGCTACTGAGCACTGCCAGGTGTCAGGGCCATCGAACCGATCGACGATGTGGGTCGACAAAGACTTGCCAACGTCGGCACAAACAACAATTGAATCGACGCTGTGGCGGGACTTAGTCTCACAACTCGTGGGAGACTTTGGCAGCATGCTGTCACGGACAGCGAACGGTGGTCACAACCCGAGGCTGAATGTGTGCACCCTGCAAGCGGAAGCGTCTCCACCATCGACTGAGAACACGTTTTCCGGGCTCCGGCTCGCCCGCGCACCTCTTTTCTAGGGCCGGTCTCCGGACCGACACGCGCGCCTCGCCTCGCCTCGCCTCGCCTCGCCATCCAAGACGAAAAAGCTCGCAGGCGAGAGCCCCACTCTGCACGAACGAAATGGACACGGAAAGAATGGGTACAATGCCCAACAGCGGATTTTGTTCATTCTGAACAGGATTCGCTGTCCACGCCGCCGCGGCCTGTGTCCATTCGAGACAGGAGGCCGCCTGCCCAACAGCGGCCGCAGGCTGTTGGTTTGGGGCAACATTTGTTGTTGGGCATTGTACCAATTTCTGCCGTACCCATATCGGGCGTCCAAACCCACTTCTCGGCCCTGTAGCGTTGTCAAAGAAGTCGCACCGGTCACGGGGCAAGATGCACCATCGATGCTGCAATACACCCTCCCGTCCCGTGCCCCTGCCTCGCAGGTCATTGCGAGCATCCCTCTTCACTGCGCGCGACGCGCCCCCGGAAACGACACGGCCCCATGGGGGCCCGCAGTTCAGGCAGGCTTTCGGTTGTGAAGAAAATGAGCCGCCCTCCACCACTCGAGCTGTCAGTCAAACGCGATTTTTTTATTATATATATATATATATATATATATGTATGTACATATATATAGACATATATGTATGTGTATATACATATAGACATATATGCATATATAGAGATATACAATTATCCTCGAGCGACCCTACCTAGGAGTTGGAGCATCTAGGAAAGCAGCATCTACATCTACACCGACAGCTACATTCAAATCTACACATGCATCTGCATCTACATCAGCATCAACAGCGAGATTCACATCTACATCTACATCTACACCTATATCTACATCTACACCTAAATCTACACCTGCATCCACATCTACACCTATACCTACATCTACATCTACATTTACAATTTCGCATTGGTTATGCTTTTGCTTTGCATTGCCTTGCCTTTGCTGTTGCTGTTGTGTTTGCTTTTGCTTTGCTATTGTTTTCGCTTTTGCTTGATTTTGTTTTTTGCTTTGCCTGCGCACAGACACACACACACACGCATGTTTTCGCATTCGCTCACCGGGTGTGCTTGAGAATGCTCCGTATCCGGTCTACACCGCACGACTTGGCATTGAGCAAGGTTTTGCAACACTTGCTACACCGAGCGTTCCTACGAAATTGTACAGCAGCAGCAACTCCCAGATCGGTGCATCATCCGCGCTGGAATATGTGGTTTCACCAGAGTGGTGTGACCACAACCTCCCCGCTGTCGTGGAGTCGCCGGAGCCACTCTTGGCGCGCAGGGCCTGTGTCGAATAACCAGTAATACACATATCGCCGTGACTGGTTCCCCTTCCGCAACTCGCAGATCTTGTAGCAGAAGCACTGCAAGTAAACAATCGGCCGTCGCATTTGATCAGGGATGTGCTTGCAGCCGATTTGCAAGAGGCGGTCTCCGAAGTCGCCGTGGTATGCTATGCTATGCTGCGCTAAGCTATGCGATGCTAGGCTATGCTATGCTATGCTGCGCTATGCTATGATATGCTATGCTATGCTATGCTATGCTATGCTGCGGTATGTGATGCTATGCTATGCTGTGCTATACTGCGCTATGCTATGCTGCGCTGTGCTATGCTAAGCTATGCTGCGCTAGTGCTGCGCTATGCTATGCGGTGCCATACTATGCTATGCGGCGCTATGATATGCTGCGCTATGCTATGCTACGTTGTACGATGCTATGCTACGCTAATGCTACGCTAAGCTAAGTTAGGCTGAGCTGAGCTGAGCTAAGCTAAGCTAGGCTAGCTAAGCTAAGTTAAGCTAAGCTACGCTAGGCTTGGCTAGGCCAGGCTAGGCTAATCTAAGCTAGACTAAGCTAAGTTAAGCTAGGTTAAGCTAAGATGAGATAAGCAACGCCAAGCTAAGGGGACCAAGGTGGGGGAACCGCGGGGCGGATACTGGGGGAACCGCCCGGTCCGGTTCCCACTGCCCGGCCCTTTAAGCCAAGAAAGTAAGAACCAGTCTAGGCAGAGCCTGGGTAGGGAAATACATACCTACACATATATGCATACACATATATGTGTATATATATATATATATATACATCCAGGTATATATGCATATATACATGTACGCATGTTTATATAACACCACTCGAGCCGTAAGGAGTGCGGCACGGTGGGCAAATTACAAGTTTCCGGGAGGTGTCCATCGACCGCCTCGCTCTTCGAGGGGGAGCCGCCCTCCACAGAATTCCGTGCCGCTTGCTGAGCGCCTGCTCCGGTGTCTGGCCATCCAGCCGCAAGATCTCTCGGGCGAGAGTCCTTTTTTTGAGAAAGGAGCCGCCCCCCGCCCTCCCCCTTTCCGCCCGCACCATCCATATCTCCCGACCACAACGGAAGGAGTCCAGGGGACCCATGCAGATCATCTCGACGAGGGGGCGGAAGGTCAGGGCGGAAGGTTTGGAAGAATGAGGGGGAGGGCTTCGATCTGCTGCACAGGTGTACAATGTGTCGAGGGGGTCTGCGGCCAGTGCCCCACATCACCACATGGAACAGGAGCCGCCGTCTGTCCGTGAGCATGGTGCCGTCTGATTTTAACACACAAGCGGGTGCGCGCGGCACAAAGGCGAGAGCCCCATGTTGAAAACAACACGCCTGTACCAGCTATGCTTTTATAAGCAGAGTCGCCCCATTGTGAAAACCATCCGCCCTTCATTGTTGCTGCGCTCGGCGATTCAAGCTTCAACACGATAAGCAATGGGGAAGCCTCGAGCGAAATTCCCGGTTCGCCCCTGATGACACGTTTGGTGGTGCGACAGGGAGGGGGTATACTTTGAGGTGGTCTGACAGGGAGGTGCGACTTTGACAGGAAGAGAGATGGGGAGGGCAGAAGATGAGGGAGGACGAGTAGGGAGGAGGGAGGGAGGGAGGAGGAGGAGGAGGATGAGGAGGAGGAGCAGGACGAGGTGCATCTGAGGACATGGCCTCCATAGAGACCGTCGAGGTTACCGCACTGCCAGTATTCACGATTGACTCCCTGTTCCTTGGGTCCAACATGCAACCCGCGCGTCCAAAGATGAGTGCTACTTGGCCCGCCTCCTGCTGATCCTCCCGTGCCTCTTCATGGTTTCCTCACGCAGCTTGTCTGCAACGTCCGAGAAAGATCTGGATTGAAACAAATCGGCACGCGCCAAATCCAGAATCGGTCGGGCGACGTTGCCTCCTGTTGTTTCCCACTGCCTCCCGCTGCCTCCCATTGTCTCGTTGCCTCTCCTGGCCTCCTGTTGTCTACCCCCACCCGTAGGTGTCTCCCACTATCTCTCCCCATCCGTATCCCTGTCCCATATCTACCTCTAACCCTATCTCAACTGTCTCCCGGTGTCTCCCCTGGTCTCCCATTGTCCCCCATTGTCTCCTTTTGCCTCCCACTTTTTCATCAGCACCCATGTGCGTTGCTAGCTATATCCTTCTGCCTCCACCACTATCCATGCCATTCCTAGTCTATATCCTGACCCATGTCCCTATACCCATACCCCATCCATCTATATGCCTAGCTCTGCATCGCTAACCCCCATCCCTATCCCGATCCCCCACCGTGGCCCCCAATCGTGACCCCCATGGTATTTGTGTAAAGCTGTTTAGGGTCTTCTGCTGCAAGTGTGTCATGTTCTCCTTCTGTCCCATCCTCATCCGCATCCATCGCCCTCTCCATCCTCATCTTGCTCCTTCTCCGCTTCTGCCTCTCACCCCCCCGCCACCTCCGTCTCCTCTCCCTGGCTTGATGCAGTGTGCAGTGCGACATTTTTTTGTGTGTTATGATGCCATGCGATGTCTTGATCTGAAAGTACGAGGCCCCCGAAGATCCCGACCCTCCCCCCAGGGCCGGTTGTTTTTGTTACGCTCCTCCGGGACGCCGAAAACGGCCAAAGTTTCCCGTCGTGCTTCTTTCACGGCACGATCCTGGCGAGGTGCACCTGGTCGGGGGGACCGGCGCGCTGGTCGGGAACTTGATACTCGGCCGGCGTATCATGCAGCCGGAGCAGGGGCACTTTGGCGCGTTCGGCTTCGAGCAGGCGGGGCCCCTGGCCAAAGATCCGTGCCAGGGGACGATTGACCCCCTGCCTGCTGGAATGCGAGAGGCAGTATCGAGGACAGATGTTGCCCACCCAGGCATGCCCGCGTCGTCACGCAAATCACCACGGGCGGTCTTGGCCGTTTTGGGACCCTGGGGGCCCCCGCCGGGCCCCAGGACCGTCAAAAGAGGGCTCGGCATGGAGAACTGGCCATGGGGAGAGGGTCGGGACTTCTATGGGACCCCGTGCGAAAACAATCAGGGCATCGCTGCTGGGACCCATGCGAATGTCCCAGGCAAGCCGCCCAACCAACATCCAAGGAAGCGCAAACGTGGATTGAGGCGCGTAGGTTTGCGACGGGTCCTTCTCCTATACAGAATCGGCGCTCCGTCGCCGCATCAGGCAGCATTGGCATGATGATTCGGGGGGCACCTTGTTCGATCCGTAGATCATGTGATCGTGCGCCCGACACATGCTTGGCCCACCAGGGTTGCCACCGTCCTGTTGGGAGCCGCAGTGGGACCATCCTTCTGCCAGACAGTAGCAGCGAGCAGCCGCCAGGGACATACAGGTCGCACAAAGACTTAGTTGTGAAGTGCCCCAGCCGGTAAATCCTCTCGTCTCGTCCGTGCCGCGGGTGCGGGCGAGGGGAGGTGAAGCTGCGTAAGTTTCTGCCCTAGTAATGAGCGAGGTCAGGGCAGAAAGGGCCGCTCTGTGTCCGCGCCGCTGCTCCTGGTGGCTTCTAGTTGTCCCGATGGTTAGCGTCTCGATGATTGTCCCGATGCCTGTCCCGATGGTTGTCCCCATGGTTGTTCCAACAGTTGTCCCGGTGGGCGTCCAGATCGTTATCCCGATCGTTGTCCCCACGGTTGTCCCGACTGTTGTCCCGGTGGGTGCCCCGATGGGTGTCCCGATGGTTGTCCCGATGGTTGTTCTGATGGTTGTCCCGATGGTTGTCCCGACGGTTGTCCCGACGGTGGTCCCGGTGGTTGTCCCGATGGTTGCCCTGATGGTGATGGTGGTCCGAATGGCTTTCTGGGTGGATAAGTGGATCGTGAGATGTATGGGTACTGGGACAATATGTAAGGGTTGAGATTAGTAGATATGATAGGTTGAGATCGATACATTTTGAGGCCGATCGATCGTGACTTCGACTGGTCTATTGAAATTCATATAGGTATCATGATAGCGAGAGCAATGGATTATTAGATCGTTGTCCCGAAGTTGTCCCCTGGTTTTCCCACGGCTGTCCCGTTGTTTTCCCGCGGCTGTCACGTGGTTGTCCTGTGGTTGCCTTGTGGTTGCACCGTGGTTTTCCTGTGGTTGCCTTGCGGATGTCGACCGATGCGTAGCGACACCGATCGGTATTGATACCGATCGATTGACAGTATGACGGGTAAGCATTTTGGCAGTGAGATTTGTCGAGCTACAGTGAGACCGGTGGATCGTTGAGAAGATAGGTAGATCGCGATATTGATTGGTAGATGCAGTGTGGCTGCGATGATACATGAGACCGATGGATGGTCTGCGAGACCAACGGGTGCACATACGTATACATACCGATGCCGATCTTTACACACAACGATTACAACATGAGAGAGAGGGACAGAAAGACGACAGAGAGAGAGAGAGACAGGTCAGAGACAGAGAATGAGAGAGACGTCAATAGTCATACCGATCGTAAGATAGATGTTGAGACCGTGGTTGGCTTGCTGGTGTTCCGTGGTTGTCCCGTGGGTGTCGATGGATAGTGAAACCGATGCCCCGCGGTTCTCCCGTGGTTTCTGTCGTTGTCCCGCGTCCAATAGATATCAAGTGAGACCGATCGGCAGTGAGACCGATGGATCGGGATAATTGGCGGAAGGTGATGCGGATCTGTTGATTGATCGTGAGGTTGATCTTTAGCTTGCGAGACCGGTTTTTCGTAAGATAGACCGAGCAGCTCATAGCGATATCAGTGTATTGTTCATGGTTCAGTAGGTAGACCGAGAGACTAAAATTCAGTGAGATCCTCCCATCGGTTGATCGTTGCATTGCCAGAGGGATAATGGGAGCGGCCAGTAGATAGTGCGATCGATAAATGCAGATGCGTCTATGTACATCTTAATAGATCGTGATTTCGGCTTATGGGAAAGGTATAGGCAGAGAAGCATTAGATGATGATGCGAATGCCTTGTCGATATATATATATATACATTACCTGACCGAGAGATAGTGAGATCAACCGATCGATTGACAGCGGTATTGCTAATGCACTGCTAGATTGATGCTGAGACCCGTATGTTGTGGAATTGGCTGGAATCGAGCGACTCGCGTTTTCGAAAAAGGGCCGCGTCTGCCCAAAGGTCGAGCGACCCACGCGGTGTCAGAGACCAGCGCGCAGGTCGCCATTGCACGAGCTTGCCGCAGACCGGCGCCGAGTCGTGGGCCCCGCTGCTGGGCGGTGCGGGCGGCCACTGTCAGAGACCCCCTTCGGCCCTCGAGTTCCTGGTGCGCTGGTGGCCCTCCTGCCCTTTCGCCTCCCCCCCTCCCCCACTCTCCCTCCCACACAGACGCGCACAAGCATGCCGAGCCCCGCGCCGACACCGACTCCAGGGACCTCTCCCCCCTCCCTCCTCTATGCATGTTGTTCAGGCACACCAGATTCCTGAGGCCACGGCCTCGCCCACCTGGTCTTAGCTAGGCCCGGACGGCGTCCGCAGCGGTGGTCGTATCTGCCTTGGTGGCCGCGCCCCCGGCCGCCCGTTGGCCACGGTCTCGCTCGTGGCCTGTGGTGCCTGTTCGGCCCTCGCGTAGGAGTGCGGGGCACAGCCGGGACGCCGAGATGCGTCGGAGCAAGGAGAAGCGACACCACCACCTCCGCCAGAGGGGGCCACCAGCGAGGGGGTCCCCGATGCCCTCCCGAGCTGGGGATGGGGGGATGTCTCGAGCGAGGGTCCGGGGCAACGGTAGGAGGGGATAGGCATATGATATGGGGGATGCATCGACCCCCAGTCAACCATTGATCGCAGACAGGGGCCCGACAGCCCCAGCGTGCCCAGGAACGTGCGCAGTCACAATCGGAGGCCTATCGCCGATCTATCGGCGTTGCATCGCCGATACCAGGTCGATGTCTCCCTCCCCTGTGCCAGTCCCCCCCCCTTAGGCGGAGGAGACGGAGGAGGCGGAGGAGGCGGAGGCGGAGGAGGCGGAGGAGGCGGAGGCGGAGGAGGCGGAGGAGGCGGAGGAGATGGAGGAGGAGGCGGAGGAGGAGGAGGAGGCGGAGGAGGAGGGGCTGTTGCCCCTCAGGGAGGGGTGGGGGGGGCACGCCTCCACGAGGAGGCGCCCCCCCTGGCGCCCGTGGCCTCTCTCGCGGTGCTCCTGGCATGGGATATGGGATGCTGCGGGCTCGGGGGGGGGGCTCTGGCCTCCGAGAGCCGCTCGCCAGAGCCGGGATGGGGGGGCCTGTGCTCGTGGCGTTCCCCACGGGGGCGCGATTCTGTTTTTGACTGGGAGAACTCATGGTTTTTGAGCCCAGAAAAGCATGTTCTTGCTGACTCCTGTTGACATGCAAACTGGTTTTCGGATTCCAGAAGTCATTGTTTCTGGGATTCAAGACGTGGTCTTCGGAGTCAAAGAGCTGGCTTTTGAACCCAGAGGCCAGGCTGTAGCCCTCGGGACTCGGCCCGCTCCCCGCGGAGCCCCCCCCTCGTGGCCTCTTGGGTGGCACCGCGGCTCGGAGCGCCGACCCTAAACCGCGCGGCCCTCCGTGGTCCCCGCGCGCCCGCGGGCCACCCTGCCAGCCTGCTCGGCGCCCGAGCCCCTTCGGCTGCCGCGTGGGCCTGGAATCGAGCCGGTTTGGCCGCCGAGCGACCCCGAGCTCCCACCCCATTCTGGGGGTGGAGCCCGTTCGGCAGCCCATCTGGCGGTGGAGCGGGCTCCCGCGCCGAGCGGGCTCGGGAAGGAGCCCCAGGGTGTGCGCGAGAGGCGGCCCTCTTGGGAGCCGGCTCGCCTGCTGGCGAGCCGCTCGTGGCCCCCCATGGGTCCATGTCGGTCCGCTCGATCCTGTCCGATGGCGATCTCGGCCGGCCCGAGAGAGGCTCTCGATTCCGATGCTCGGACGGCCCGGTGCGGCCCGATGCCGCACAGCGTCGTTGCACATGTTGGCGGGGCCGATCCGATTCGATGCTGACGCTGTGCCGACGCGGCCCAGTCCGTCAAGCAGTGGCGAAGCGTCCCGGCGTGCCTGAAGCCCTACCAAACAGCGTTCCACGAACTTGTTGTGGCTTCCACGACATGTTCTTAGAACATTTCTGGCGGAGCCTGTCTTGTTTTAACACATCGGGTTCATGCTCTAAGGACATTGTTTTCCTAGAAGAACACTTTTGGGTTCTCAGAACGCTTCGTGGTAGGACTATAGGAATGCCGGGACGGTCGGTCCCTGCTCAAGCCCGAGGCACGATCCGATGCGGTCCGGAGTCCCGCTTCGGTGCTGCTCGACCGCGTGGTCGCCTCTCGGGGTTCGGGTTTCGATTCCCGTCCGCACGTGGCCCGCAGCCTCCCGCACCCCGCGGCCCCCCTGTGAGGGAGGGGGATGAGGAGGAGGAGGAGGAGGAGGAGGAGGAGGAGGAGGAGGAGGAATAGGAGGAGGAGGAATAGGAGGAGGAGGAGGAGGAGGAGGAGGAGGAGGAGGAGGAGGTGGCCTCCTGGCTTACCACTTCTCGGGGCTTAGTTACTTGGCTCGATGGGGCGCGGTCCGTGGCCGCATCAAATAAGGAACAGTTTGGATTCGGAAGGGGCTCGATGTTCCTTACGTCCTTCCGCGGTTGTTCCTCTGGCCCTTCTCGTGCACCCAGGCTTTTCTGAAGCCACAGAGGGGCTTCGTTTGTTATTTTGCGTTCCTTACTTCAGCAGCCCGACCGTATCCCCCGATGCCCCTAGGGACCCAAACGAGCTCTGGGGGTGCCTTGGGGCCCTCAGAGCTCGACGAAGCGTTTGCCCAAAAAGTGCTCATGGCAAGG